AAGGTTTGGTCCCACTCAAGACTGGACAAGTTCGCAAGATCACCATTATGTGGGTCCAATAAGGTTTGGTCCCATTCAAGACTAAAATAGTTTGAGTTGCGATCGATTTTAGAATGGAAGATTTGTTCGCCTAGCTTGTCAATGTTGGGATCCAATAGAGTTTGGTCCCATTCAAGCTTGGAGTCGAATGTGACATGATGGGTGATGTCAAGTTCGTCCAGTGTCAGTCTACTCATGGTGCTTGGTGTGCTAACAAGTTGATCAGCACGACCACCAGTGAGTATATTGATACCATCAGACGTGCGAATACTAGGTTGTAGAGCGGAAGAATCATTAGTAGTAGGACTAGTAGTGTCACTATACTGATTACTTTTTACGTCTACTGTAGATTGGCGGTCTGATTCGTCGCTCATCGGCCGTTGTAACTCCCCATGTTTGGGTGCAAATTCGTTGCGTATGGTGGCTAGGTGACTGTCTGAACTTGTCGCCTTCTGTGTTGGAAGGAGAGTAGCGGACGACGAGTCAACAGGTTGGCGATGAGCAGGTTTGGGAACAAGAGGTTGTGGTAAAAGGGACTTATTAAAAACTATAAAGTCACCACTACATTGATAATTGAAGAACGCTTGTACGTCAATGTTCATGCAATTGATCGGGGCGATCGGATTGCCATGGACGTTTTGACAAAGGTAAGCATACCCAAGTAAAGCCCGAAGAGTGCCACGATGGGGCCGCTCAAGCTGAGTAAGCTGAGTTTGGCCAGTATCCACCCCATATTGGTCAATGATGGGTGCATCGTACTTCAATGCAAGGAGCTCATTCTTGTTGTAGGAGAGGAGGTGCATGAAGTGCAAGCATCCATCGCGACAAAGAGCACGCATGAGTGGGCTGTCTAGGGGCTCTCGAAAGAGGGTTGTGACAGCAAACTCAAGGCTTGCAAGGGTACGACCAGGTGGCGCGGTAGCATTGGCGGGCGTACCGGCAGTATTGCCAACAGTTGAAGTAGCAGGGCTGACAGGTTGGTTGGCAGCACCGGCAGGAGGAGCGGGTGTAGAGTTCATACCGCTCCAAGTAGTTGGCATTTCTGGTTTGTTGTTGTGGGGTGGAAAAGTAGGGGGAGAGTCCTCTCACAAGAGCGAAGACTGTAGGGACGATGCCTGTCCCAAAACTTCTTAGGTGCAAAGGTTGGTCAAGTAAATCCCTAACGAAAAGGGCTCGAGGAATTGACGTTCCGTACCAGTGGATACCCTACGGTCACACTAGTCCCAAGGATTGCCGGCAGGCTTTCCTGGTTTTCTTGAACGTCTTGCAGGTCAGAACAGAAGCGAAGGTCCCAACAAATTGGAACAAGGAGTGGTCTCTTTGCTATAGACTTTTAAACTCCCTTGACCTTCTTAAATCCGTTTACCGCCGTATTCAACAATCAGCAAAATGACCAACCGAAGTTGGTCAATTGCAGATGTGAATACGGAGACTTGTCTTCTGAGTCTGTAAGAGACTGGCTGCAGAAGACTACAAGAGGCTGGAAAAACCCCTCGACCTTTACGGGTATAGGCGTCCCGGTGCTCCAACAATCAACAAGTGCCCGGTCGAAAACTGGCTGGTTGTCAAGTGGAAAAAGGAAAAACAGCACGCCAAAAGTCGTTGTGCACGCAACGACGATCAACTCCGGGGGTGCTGGGAAGGACTGCGGGAAGTTGTACTCACGAATGTACAAAATCCAGAACAAGTTTCAGTCGATTTAAAATAAAACCGATCTGTGTGCCGCTGTCTGTTATTAGGGACGAGAACCACCTCGTTTAATTGCAGTACAGCCGGGCAATGAACCTCACGAGATGTCTTTGTGGTGGATTTCTCAACACCGGAAGCAAAAGACGACAAGTGGGGGGAGCAAGGGTTCGGCGGATGCCCAGCGCTTAACTCCCTTCGGCTTCCAATAGGGCTGGAACACCGAAATATAGAACCACCAAAATATAGAACCACGGAAATAAAATAGGAACCAATACCCTTTTGTGCCGTTGGGTCTTCGCGTAGTCGTCAACAGTGATGGCTATGGTGATCCAAATACAGTTTCGTCGACTTTGAAACGCGGCAGCTATCAAGTCTTTGAGATTGATAAACCAGAGGAAAGAGGTAAACTCTGGTCGTCGACTGTAGGGGTCGGAAAGGACTGGGCCAAATCGCAAGTTTGGGTGTTGCGGTGGGCCGAAATGCTGATGAAGTGGCAAAAGCTTGTAAATGTGCTTCTGGAGGAAGCAGAGGTCGTTTTTCTGTGGGAAAAACGGCGGCAGTTAGCTGATGGTGCGTAACTGCGACTGTTAATCTGACAGAATATAATTATTCTTGGGTGAACGCTCGAGTTTACCTTGAATTGATATCTTATCTTCTAGTGTTATCTCGAGCGTTCACCCAAGAATAATTATATTCTGTCATGGTCCAAAAGGAATGTTGAAGTGGATAATTGGGCAGTGGCATACCGCCATCAGTTGGAGGCTTCTAACCACCTGATTGCATCCAATGCTCGCTTCTTTACTGAGCTGGCCGCTCTCTACATCGGCGGCGTTAAGCAGTCTCGATTGGACCCAGACCACATCCAAGAGCTGGTGGCGCTTCCCGCCCTACGCAAGAGGTGGCGCGAGAAACTCACGGTCACCCCAGAGGCGGAGTCGGAAACCGACTGGCCCAGTCTGGCCCGGGCCATGCGATCGCTCCCCGCGGGCGTCCAACGCTGGACCACAAAGCACGTGGTGGGTATGTGCGGGGTCGGCAAGTTTAAGGTACGATGGGGATATGACACATCTGCTGCATGCCCATGCTGTGGCGAGTTCGAAGATCACCTACACGTACCTCGATGTAGGGCTCCATCCACCAGCGCTGAATGGGATCGCCAGACAGTGGCCCTGGATTTATGGCTGGACACTCAAGTGACAGATCCGGCCATCAAACATGCCCTTCTCTCCCTTCTTAAAGGGGTTCGTGATCCATCCCTCCCGTCCATTCGAATGGTACCAGGTCGACTGAGCAGCGCCTTCCGCTCCCAGCAATGCATTGGTTACCAAGGCTTGTTGGAAGGAAGATTGTCCCGCCAATGGGCCCCATTGCAGGAGGAATATCTGCAGTCGCGCGGGAGCCAACGCTCTCCGACCTTATGGGCCTCACGCCTCTCGCATCAGTTGATTTTGCTGGGCTTCCAGTTGTGGGAACATCGGAACTTGGTACAACACTCGGAGGACAATGTACAGTTACAAGAGCGCAGCCAACAGGTCAACGACGGGATACACAACCAGTTTGATATGGGTCCCACTGACCTACCTAAGGTTGTTCAACGCCTGCTTTCGGTCAAGCGCCGGACAGTCTTGAACAAACCACTGGTAGACCGTGAGGAGTGGCTGAAGCTGGTGAGGATGGAACGCACGGCCTACCGCCGCGCTCTGGCGCCTCAACGCCGTATTCTTCATCGCTTCTTCCACCCTGCGGACCATTCCCCTTGAACAACGTTTCGTGGAAGCAACGCCCCAAAATCACCCCGCCACGCTGCGGGTAGAGTCCGAACCAGCTGGTTCTGACTAGAGCAACTTCTGATTATTCAGACGCCTCACATGGTTCAAACTTGTTGTTGACTCGCCGCTCCACAGTACTTGACCTTTACAGCCGAACATCCCACCGGCAATCGTATGCGCTACCTAGCATTTAATCGATTAATGTTTCAGTTATTATTATTATTACCTCTTTCCTCTGGTTCATCAATCTCAAAGGTTTTATAGCTGCCGCGTTTCAAAGTTGACTTTCAATTGGGCTCCCATACCCATCACTGTCGACGACTACGCAAAGATCCAATGGCACAAGGGTATTAGATTCTATTCTAATTTTGGTGATTCTATATTTTGGTTTTCCAACCCTATTGTAAATTAAAAGGAGTCAAGCGCTGGGTATCCGCCAAACCTGTGCTTCCCTATTTGTTGTCTTTTGCTTCCGGTGTCAAGAAATCCACCACAAAGACAATTTGTTGTTCAAATAAAGCAAAATGTGCTCTATTGTGAGTGCCTTTAGCACTCAGAACAAAATCTCTATGAAGCTTGCAAAAGTACTCACAAACATCAGCATGAAAAAGCTGAAGTATGCAATTTCTTTTGTCTATGTTGGAGACATCACTCCTCCAACAGAGCAACCACTATCTTACTACATCACTGTTCCACACATTCTTGAAACACTTGAGACTTACTACTATCCTGGATCACAAAGAGGAGAAGAAATTATGAAACAGGACAACATGTACGTCTACTTTGACAACAAAACATTAAGTATTGCCATTGACGCACTAAGAAGAGGGCTTGGCAAGGCAACCTCCTACCGTTGGGATATGACGAAATATGAGTTTTTACGTTCCAAAAAGAAACTATTCAAGTACAAAGTTTTTGACACGAACGATCAAAATTTGATCGTGATGTCTGGATTTGACACAAGTATGCCGGACGCAAGTCTGTTGGACAATCTATATCCACACAAAAAGGGAATGACCCTATACAAGTGGGATATCAATGTTGTGTACAATGCAGTAGGGAATGTTACAAGATGTCCCAAAATACTGCATTCAACACAGAATCCTCGTAGAAGTTGAATGGAGTTCTGTAAACAAGGGATTTTCCAAGGGAAAATTGTTGAACTAAAAACTCATATTTTGTCATATCCCAACACACTCCTGCCATTGTGACAATCACCATTGGCAGCAATTGGACATGCTCTCATTCACTGTTTATTTTTGTTTCGTATTTTCATTTTGAACATATACATACTTGTCTGACCTAGTCCTGTGGACCAAGATGCACATACTCAATGCTCCAAGCACCAAAAGTCTGAAGTATGCAATCGGATCTGGTCTCATCAAGAACTGTCCTATCACCAAAGAAGCGATCAATCATGCCGAAGCAATCTTTGGACCTGACGCCTCTACATTGAAAGGCAAGTCAACAAGACCAACTCCAAAGAAGACACACGACGACTTCTTCAGTCCACCAGAGGAATTATAGCAGCACAATCGATCTATTACCGTCTGTATTGATCACATGGAGATCGAGAATGCTAAGTTTCTCACCTGCATTGATACCACTGTGCGTTATCGCTCATGTATTCCCGTGCAGAACCTGAAGACTGACC